GTACTTCTTAGAGTCACAAAATCATAACTTTTTCTTATAACTTGATGTTATAAGGACTGTGCATTTTTACAATGCAAGTTTGAGTCAGACTGCAGTATCTTTATTTTAACTGATTCTAATAGCATTATTATATAGTACATGCCGTTTATAAATGTATATCTATAGAGAGACTATATGTATTTTAAATGTATTATTTTCTATTCTCACTTTCTCACTATTCTTCTATTCTCAGTTTTACTTTAATTTAATTTTAACTAATCTACTAACACTAATTTCAGTGAAATACAAAAAGGTATAATTGAAGTGGTGAAATTAAGGCAGTGATATAATTGTAAAAATAAAATAAACACTTTTTATTTTATATATATTAATAAGTTCCTTCCTGTTGAGGGTACCTGTGGCCATGCTCATGTTTGTTTAGTGTGAACACTGGCTTGTAGTATTGGAAGGTCATAGCTTTGTGGATTAGAAGTTATTTAATAAATTGTTGAGGTGAAATTAAATTTATTATATTAATGCAGTTTTGTGGCTTCTCCTAGGCAGAATATTGCTCTTGCAAGGTTTCCTTTACTGTCAGCTCTTTAAACAACATTGAATTTACATACCTTTTTGTTTGAAAGGTGAAAGTCTAGTGCAGGCCTTTCCTAATGCTGTCGATTACACTCTTAAAAATAAAGATGCTTAAAAGGCTCTTCACAGCAACGCCATAGAAGAACCATTTTTGGTTCCACAAAGAACCATTCAGTCAAAGGTTCTTTTAAGAACCATCTCTTTCTTACCTTTTTAAAATCTGAAGAACCTTCTTTCGCCCCAAAGAACCCTTTGTGAAACAGAAAGGTTCTTCAGATGTTAAAGGTTCTTTATGGAACCATTTAGACAAAAAGGTTCTTCTATGGCATCGTGAAGCACCTTTATTTTTAAGAGTGTAGAATACTTAGATTTTCAAAAGCCAACAAGACAAACACATGGAAAGTACAAGAACACCATACCATAATTTCCAATATGTCCAGCCTTTATAAAGTTAGAATCAAATCAGACATTAGTGCAATGTTGAATATAAAGAGGTCAATGACTATGATAAATAAAAGTTATGTATATTATTCTTTATGTAACCTTTATGTGTATTAAAACTTTTATACTGAATTTGATGACTCTTAATACTTCTTGAATTACAAGTTCTTGAATGTGTGAGTGTCCAATAATTTTATAATTAATAATTTTTTTTTTTTAAATCAGGGTATTTTTTTGTTTGCAATATCATCAATTATTATTATTACAACTACGGGTATGTTTACACAACAATGATGTTCTAAAAACAGAAGAAACACATACCTATAGACTGAACATATGCGCATGACATCACTGTTTTAACGTTTTTGTATTTACAAAAAAGATGATAATGGTATCGTTTTATGGGGGCTCGTCCGGGATTAAAAAACAATTTAAACATCCCAAGACATTAAAAAGTTATACAGTTTGTGCTGGTGGCAAAATTACCTTGGTTTTATAGTAGTTTGTGATGGAAGCGGTGTTGCGTGTGATGCTTAGTGTTGCGCTGTCTGTGGTTTACCTTGTAACATTAGTAATCATGGCCTTGTTTAATTTACCTGCACTTTGAAACCTGTTTTTAAAAGTTTGAATTTACAGTTTGCCCTCAAAATGCCTTTGTCATGTAAATGAAAGGCCAAAACGCAAAAAAACATTCTCATTTTTTGTTCAAATCAGTGTCGTGTAAACGCCCCCTCAACTTGCCTTGTTATAAAAACAACAAATGATATACTTTAAGAGACTTGGCTTGACCAACAATCGAGAGGGTCTGCAGAGGTACTCTCTATGATATCATTTCCTGTTTTACATTTTGCAGGCCTCTGCATGTTGAACCACATGATCTTGGTTTGGTGGGCGAACATTTGGTAATATTACAATACAAATCAAAAACAGTTTTGTTCAATTACTTTTTTCTGAAACAAATAAATATGCAACATTTTTCTTTTCAAGAATTTAATTCTTTTAACAAGTTTTTTTCCTACATTATGATACCAGGACATCTCACTATATGAAAGGTGCATTCAAGTCATTGTATGTACGAATCACATTTTTGAATTTATTTGTGAACACATTATGCCATTGACCGAAACACATTAACCATAAACACTCAAAAATAGATATAAAGAAACTGCAAGTAACACAGTCAATTAAACAATTTTTAAACATAATATTTACATTTACATCTTCAAAACATCATTTCATCATAAAGTCTAGTTCCCTGTATTTCAGTCAGGGTAAGATCCATGGCTTAATAGCAGGATTGTGAGCTTGAGTGAGTGTGTGTGTGTGTGTGTGTGTGTATAGACGTGCTTGCTGACCCAGCACACTATGCTAGTGACCATGGGCCAGCGCAAGTCATCTTTTATTCCTGGCCTAGTGTAAATTGATCACTCTGAGTCTACAGCATAACGGATCTTGGCTTTATGATACTAGCGCTCTTCCCTTCTGTTCAATCTCCCATCCACCAATCCTCTGTCTCTCTATCTAGCTGTCTGTCTGTCTATCTATCTATCTATCTATCATCTTCAGCATACTGAGGTGTGATGTTGTATGTACAGCTTCGATGAAGGAGGTCATGACTGATGACAGACAGGATGTATTCTGATTGGCTGATTTTTTGGTGGGCGCCCTGTGGTGTCCAGTTTCTATGTATATCCCGCTATATCTGAATGGTCTCTGTGCTTCTCCATGACCCTGTGGAGCTATTTTTGACAGAGGCTTGTCTGTGCGACGTAGGCAGATTTCAAACGCTGTCCGGCTTTAGTGCTTCACCTGCAGGTAACTGACACTCGCAGCTACTGATCGATACATCCGTACGTACCACAGAGAAACTTCAGGGGCAGCCTCACGAGGAAGTGTTGCTGAATTTCTCATGAATAAAACACATCAACAAAGCACATGATTAGCATTTCTTAACCCTGTCTAAAAATAGTCTGTAAGGCTGTGTTCCAGTATTTGACCAAATAAAAGACAGGAACAGAAAGTAAGTACAGCAGAATTCAAGTGTATTTGCATGTCCTGCTGTAAATACTAGTGCTTGGAAAGCAATTAAGGAACAGCTTTAAAAAATTAGGTAAATTATAGTTAGAAACAAAGTAAAAACAAAAGTTGAAGGAGGACTAGGTTAGAAAGAAAGAAAAGACCATTCACAATTCAGTAGATGAGGTTGGCAGTTGTTTTTGATTTTGAATACACGGTTAGCCTGATGGGAGATTTTCAGACTTGATGTGCAGGTAAGGTTTGTTTTTGCAGTTTTACACTGAAGACATGCTTAATATGATGTAGACTCAAGTGAAGACTCACATTTTAAGTCGATGGTGCTCAAATGAAGGAATTTCCAGGAATTAACCCTGTGCTCATTTTTATTTTCAGCAATATTACAAAAGTTTCTGTTTAATTAATTCACTTGTTCTTTTTACTCCATTTTAACATGGGTTCCTAAAGAGACCAGGCGTGTGTTTCCCAAAACCATCGTTAGCTGACTATGGTTGTTAATTCCATTGAACTCTATTGGTAAAGATGGATGGGAACTTCGATGCTTTTGGGAAACACACCCCAGAACAGGACAGCATACAAACGGAAGTTAGAATCCATCATGGCAGCACTGAAATATTAGTAAATTAAATATTATAAATATTACATTTTAATTTGCTAGTAAAACATAAAGTGTTGCACATTTTATTGGTGCAAAGATGAGTGTGTATTTTGGGTCCCACTTTATATTAAGTGGCCCTAATACCTGTGTACTTACATAGTAACTAGATGTGTACATAGTATGTAACCACAGTGTAAGTACACATTGGTACATAGTATCTACAGCTGTAATGTTTGTGTAACTACACATATGTAACAACCCACTGAATGGTATGTGTAAGTACAAATGTGTAACAGGACATTGGTAACAACACTTTTTGGTAATGAAAGTAGAAATGTGTAACAGGACTAACAGCACTTTTTGGTAAAGAGAGTGTTGCACTTTATATTAAGTAAACAATTCCTATGGATTTACCATGTAATTACTCTGATGTTACACAGCCACAGGTATTAGGGCCACAATATAAAGTGGGACCGTATTTTGTACAACAATTTCAACTGTTTTTTTTTCGTCACTTAATTAGAAGCAAAACAATTACTAAACTGTGTAATCTGTTACAGAGATTACTGAACAGACATATAGAAGTTTATTTTAAATGCAAAGTATTAAAAAAAATCAAAATAATGCTCTGTAAGCACTTGCATTTTTTATAACACTATAAGTGTGTCCTATCAGGTAATGAGAAGTTCCAAAGTGACCAAATGTCCCCACAAGTATAGTAATTCTTTATCTTATGGGGAAAATTTTATATATTTTTTTTTCCTGAGCCCCGTGAAAAGTTTTTATTTTTGTTTGTTTGTTTGTTTGTTTGTTTTTTTAATCTCTTGATGCAGAAAGTTCTCTGTGAAGGTTAGGGTTAGGGGGTAGAATATACAGTTTATACAAGCTTATAAAATAATACATAATTAAGGTTTTTTGAAAATATAAAATAGCAGAAAGTTTTCTATGAGAGTAGGCTTAGAGTAAAAGTGGATAGAAAATAGTTTGTACTGTATAAAAACAAAGTATGTCTATTCCCGTGTGTGTTTGCAAAAGGACACAGGTTCAAATCCCTCCTAGAAAAATTACAACTGTGCTTGATGCTCCATCATTAGCATACATTTTCATAATAATGCATTTTAAGGTGATGTATTTAGCTAACATGTAAATGTGAATACGAACATGTCTTTAGACTAAGTTTTATCATCCTATGAATAGAATATGTACGCTAAACACAGTTGGAGCTGCAGAACTGTGCAGAAGAAGAATAAAAATAAACACGAGGGATTTCATAATCCAATTTTATTACCTGGAATGTAATGAGGCAAGGAAGTATAATGTGTGCTGTAATGGTGCAATACTGATCTGTGTGTTGCAGGAGAGGAGGGCTCAGAATCACATGCAGAGACTCCAGTCAGTGAAACAAGTGGAAATGGCACTGCATACCAGACCTGCGCCAACACAGTGCTCAAGGTGCTGGGGGGTTTGCTGGTGGTGCTGTGTGTCTCCTCGTCCTGGGTGGGCACCACACAGGTGGTCCAGCTCACGTTCAAATCCTTTTCCTGTCCCTTTTTCATCACATGGTTCAGCACCAACTGGAACATTCTCTTCTTCCCCCTCTACTATTCTGGGCATGTGGCCACCACCAGAGAAAAACGGACGCCCATTCAGAAATTCAGGTAAAGTCAGAATGAATGAATCTGGTGGATTATTATGATGTGATGTGAACAGCAGAACATTTTGCAGGAAGTATAGAAGCGAACGTGTGAAAATTAAACATTTACTAATTTGTCTTTAACTAACACTTTTATCCAATGCAACATACTGTACACTTATTAGAGAAACTTCCCCCAAAGCAGGAATGGACAGCTCCAGTCCTGGAGGGCAACTGTCATGCAGAGTTGAGCTCTATCCCTAAATATAAATAAAGTAATCCGGTCTCACTTTATATTAGGTGGCCTTAACTACTTTGTACTTACATCAAAAATAAGTACAATGTACTTATTGTGTTGATATTGTATTGCAAAACACTTTTGCTGCTATTGAGGTGGGATACAGGTAAGGTTAGGGACAGGTTTGGTGGTATGGGTAGGTTTAAGGGTGGGTTAAGGTGTAAGCAATGGGTCAACAGCGTAATTCTAAATGAAATTGCAGAAATTAATTACAGATGTAATTACATGCAGGTATTTTTCAAGTACAATGTAAAAACATGAATGTATACAATAAGTGCATTGTATCAAATGACTGATAAGCACAGTTAAGGCCATCTAATATAAAGTGGGACCTGTAATCCTGAAGAATTTGGTTAGATTTTTTTCAGGTTTGATTGGGGAGTTAAACTCTGCTTTAGTGCAAGAGTCAGTAGAAACAGTTCAGTTCCATTCATGAGCAACTCATTCAGAATGGTTTTGCAAACTAGAGCAACCAATTCATTGAAAAAGTCTGCTCAAAAATGATCTATTAGACAAATTGAACATTGCTATTTTTCATGAATGTAACAAGGAGACTGGTGTGATTTTCAGGGAAAAAATAATACATGTTTTGTTTCCACACACAAATATATTGTGTGTCTATATAAAAGCACCTAGCCATAAGGACCACTTTTCTTATTAATTTGTCTTTTTGGATCCTTTTTTAAAGGAGATTTCAGTCTGTATGTAAAAGAGTGACAAGTGGTAATTCAGTACGAGGATGAGGAACAGTTCCAAATCGATCTCATAAAAAAGAATTTTACGAGTTGGCAATTGTGTATGAATTTCATATGAATTAAATGTACAATGTACAATTTTTAGGAAAAAACACTAAGCTTGAAGGTCCCCACTAAACCTAAACTAAACCCCACTAAACTCTAGTTTCATTTTTGAGTGTCTTTCACACTAAAGCTTTTGGCATGGACCTTGATTTTGGTTCATTTGTACTTCCAAATATTTTAACTTGGCGCGTCACGATTGGTTACAAGACACCTGGGAACCAGCGTTTGCCATCACTGACATCAAACCTGGTTTGAACTTTAACTAACTAATTAACCTTTTAAATCTTAACTACCCCACAGATAACCTCTTGCAGAGTTGCAAATCTGCAACCTTTTGGTTACCAAACTAAACCTTTAATTTCTAGGTTAAAGGGTTAGTTCACCCAAAAATGAAAAAATCCAGTCTGAGTTATATTAAAAATTGTCTTTGATCTTTCAAGCTGTTTAATGCCACTCAGCGGGTGTTGCATGCATCAGTCCAAAAGAAGTTAAATAAAAAGCGCCCATCCATAAAAAAAAGTGTCTCACACGGCTCCGGGGGGTGAACAAAGGCCTCCTGTAGCGAATCGATGTGTTTTTGTAAGAAAAATATCCATATTCAAAACGTAATAATCACTTGAATCTAGCTTGCGCCAACAGTCCTACACGGAAGCAGCTCGGGGCAGATGACGTATGAGTTCAGCGTTGCGCATGCGCCGCTCAGGACTGATGCATGCAACACCCGCTGAGTAGCATTAAACAGCTTGAAAGAGCAAGGACAATTTTTAATATAACTCCGACTGGATTCGTCTGAAAGAAGAAAGTCATATACACCTAGGATGACTTGAGGGTGAGTAATTTGTGGGCTAATTTTCATTTTTGGGTGAACTAACCCTTTAAGTAAAGTAAACAGTTTGCTGGCCTTTTAGAGATACAGTGATCTTTGTGCACTGTTTTAGTCTGAGGTTAAGATAATATTTTTGCACTGAATGTAGTCGGTTGTTTGGGGAGGACGGAATGTCTCTGAAGGTGTTTCTGAAGAGAACGGCGCCTTTCTCCATCTTGTGGACGCTTACTAACTACCTGTACCTGTTAGCACTGAGAAAGCTAACCGCTACAGACGTCTCAGCGCTCTACTGCTGCCACAAGGCCTTTGTCTTCCTCTTGTCGTGGATTGTCCTCAAGGATCGCTTCATGGGTGTGCGGGTAGGTGGAATACGTATAACCCTAATTATTACTTAGCTAGTTGCAGTATTTCATGTCAATTTATTTATTAGGGATTCAAGTACCAAAACCATTTTGCCTCAGCAACCATTTGATTATGTTTGAAGTTGAAATCTGGCAAACAGTTTCTTTGGTACAAATTATATTTGCTCTAAGATTCTTACAGAATCAATACAAATGGATGCCAACAGCTGATCAAAAAGCCTTTTTTTAATTGGAAATTTTGTATACAAGTGAAATTCAATTCCAGAATGTATGAGAATTGACCATAGCGGGTACTATAATGTTTACATTTATATTTATATCTCAGGAACTTGATAGGATAAACTCTAAATTATTGCCTTATAATCCTCGAGTTTGTGTTGCATTCTCTCTTCATTTTTTTTTATACTTTTTTGAAATTTTAGGTCACATTTTAGTTTGGGAACCAATTCTCACTATTAACTATTTACTATGACTTTTGCCTCAAAATTCTAATTTTCTGCTTATTAAAAGTTAGTAAGGTAGTTGTTAGGTTTAGGTATGGGGTCGGATTAAGGGATCTATTATATGGTCATGCAGAATAAGAAATAAATATGTGCTTTATAAGTAGTAAAAAATATGCTAGTAATATGAGAAATATGATATAATAAGCAATTAGTTAATAGTGGGAATTGGTGCCTAAATTAAAGTGCTACCAAAACTTACTTTTTGAACTTGTCATTTAGATCATCTGGAGACACTCAGAACAAAAAGTTATAGGCCTAATTGGTTTGTACTTTGTGTATGTACATTCATTAACTCTGTACACATTGTACAACAGAAAAATGTAAGTATACATGTCAAACTTCATTCATTTGGGGCAACAAGAAGCTTCTCAAAGCTTTGCTGCTGTGATCAGGGAATTTGAAATGGCACATTAAAAATTTTGCCAAACTTTTGATTGTTATTCACACATGTCCTTAGACCCCCAAAATTGCTTGCTGTTGTACTTTATTTGGTAAGTAGGCTTTTAATTATCAGGATAATGTATAATCAGCTAATCCTTATCACAAAATAAACCCTTTGGGTTTTTTAAAAGCTTTCTGGGGTCCTGATCACACTGGCAGGGGGTATTTTGTGACAGTGACTGGCTAACATTATATCATCCTTTACATTTACTTACAGGCCTTAAAATGAATGAATCTAGTTACAGCGAATGTACTGAGTACGAATGAGTTACATAAAAAGCACTACCTGTTGATATATCAAATGATTCATTAAAATTGCATCTAAACAGCAGATTGATGGTTATGGAGAAGAAACGAGTGATGCGGCACTCAATTTTCTAACACACAACAGATACAAATGGAGAGTCAATGAGAATTTGTTCTTGTTCAAGTGTAAAAAAAAAGCTTTGCTTTGCCAGAAGCTGTTATTATGCTTACATCAAAACTCTTGACTTTCATTGCACTTGATGTCTCAGATCTGGATGCATAACTTTTTTAGTATCTGCTTATTACTCCTTGAAAACGTGTTTTTATTTTCAGCTATCCACCTCAAAATGTAAATGATCTAAATGATGCGCATGCACTGATATTTATTGTGGTATAAACCTTAATCCTTATTAGACCTTATGGATTCATAATGTCTTTGTAATCTTTCCTCTTAGATTGTGGCTGCCATTATGGCTATCACAGGCATTGTGATGATGGCTTATGCTGATGGTTTTCATGGGGATTCCTTTATGGGTGTGGCCTTAGCAGTCGGCTCCGCCTCCACTTCTGCTCTCTACAAGGTGAGTGCAGCTGAAAATAACAATTCCCAGAAGATCCTTGATGACCATTAAGACTCATTCAGTATTGATATGCTTTTCCTGCAAAACCACTCAGGTGCTGTTTAAGATGTTCCTCGGCAGTGCTAATCTGGGCGAGGCTGCTCATTTCTTCTCCACCATGGGCTTTTTCAATCTCATCTTTATCTCCTGCGTTCCCCTCATCCTGTACTTAACCAGAGTGGAGCATTGGGGTTCCCTCTCCTCTTTGCCCTGGGGTTACCTCTGTGGGGTGGCCGGCCTTTGGCTAGGTAATGTGAAATTATGGAAATCGATTCTTCAGCCCTACTTTAAATGTATGTATTATATTTAAATAATATATACAGTATCTCACAGAAGTGAGTACACCCCTCACATTTTTATAAATATTGTATTATATCTTTTCATGTGACAACACTGAAGAAATTACACTTTGCTACAATGTAAAGTAGTAAGTGTACAGCTTGTAAATTTCTATAGTAATCTAATGAAATATCTTTTTTATGTTTCAAACACTGGTAAACTTAATGCGTGGTAAAATGGTAAAATGAAATATTAGCGATATACTGTACACTACTGTTCAAAATTTTATTGGGTCAGTAAGATTTTTTTTTAAAGTTTTATACTATTATTCAGAAAGGATGCACTGAATTGGTCAAAAGTGGCATGCAAGACATTTATAATGTTTCAGGTTTTTAAATTTAAAATAAATCTGGTTCTTTTGAACTTTCTATTCATCAAAAAATCCTGAAAAACGTGTATCACGGTTTTCAGAAAAATTATTAAGCAGCACAATTGTTTTCAAGAATGATAATAATAATAATAATAAATGTTTCTTGAGCATCTTAGCATATTAGAATGATTTCTGAAGGATCATGTGACACTGAAGACTGGAATAATGGCTTTATATGATCATTTTATATGATCATTACATTTTAAAATACATAAATAAAAAAAATACAATAGTTATTTTAAACTGTAAGGATACATCACAGCCTTACCTTGACAAAGCACTGACAGAACCCACTGATCTAATGTTGTTGAGCGCTCCAAATGCAAACTTTGCATGCAACAATCAGACAGCAATTGACATCATTCTGATCCAATGGCATACAGGCATCATCAGAATGACAGTACTGTAGCCCAATGATGTTGGGGGATCCAGTGGGGGCGGCAATCATATTTCAGGGTGGCTGTGCCACTCAACCCTGCTAAAATGTAGCACCAGTACATGCGCTCATTGGCGCCCCCTCCTGCTGGTGGCGCCCTAGGCGACCGCCTAGCTTGCCTATGCCTAGAAACGGTACTGGGTAGTTGTTAAGTTTAGGTATTGGTTAGGGATGTAGAATATGGTCATGCAGACTATGTGCTTTATAAGTACTAATAATCAGCCAATACATTAATATGCTTATAAACAGCTAGTTAAGAGTGAGAATTGGTCCCTATAACTAAAGTGTTACCGTTACTTGTTTAAAAAACAATAGAAAAATATGTTTTTGGCACTGTAATGTTGCGCCATCTACAGTACTAAATGGCAAATGCTAACCAGCTGTGGAAAAAAATAAATGAATAAATAAAACCTTTAGTTTGTACACAAGTACTGGTGTTAAATCATGCTGACGGTTTGTTCAGATGTGAGTTAGTGTTGTAGTGGATCAAATACAACCCTTAAGTACACGTCCAAGAGTGCTTTAAGTGCTTAGTAAGTGAGAGAAATCAGGTTAGAATCATCAGTTTACACCTCGAAGTAGCATTTCTTAGATATCCAATATGTGCTGCATCAGTCTATGTAGAGCATAATATTAACAGATCCACTTATATTTACTGTATATTTGAGCTGAAGTGGAGCTCTGTATCTCTAGGGTGTTTTAAGGATAATATGATATCCATTAACTTTTGTCACTCGTCCAAATTATGTGAAGTTCTCTGTGTATTTGGCGACTTAGAGAGGATTGAATGACAAAAGATGCTATATGGCCAAACCATAACATAAAGTTCCTGTTTTTGACTTCCTCTCTCTCTCTCTCTCTCATAGTATTTAACATCCTGGTCAATGTAGGAGTGGTGCTCACGTATCCTATTCTCATATCCATTGGGACGTTACTCAGTGTTCCAGGCAATGCAGGTGTGTGAGTCCACGCTGTACGTCATTAGTACTTGAAAATTACTATTACTATTTGAAATATATATATATATATTGTGTATATGTGTGTGTGTGTGTGTGCGTGTGTGTATATATATATATATATATATATATACGTAACAAACCATACATCAATGGAAAGCTTATTTATCCATAAATGTACTCTTATGACTGTTTTTGTGGTCCTGGGTCACATATATATATATATATATATATATATATATGTACATATACATATATATGTGTGTGTGTGTGAGGATTTGTGTGCAAAATATGCTTAACTGACATTAAAATAATGTCACAAGGCAACAAAATAGTAATAAAAATAGGTATAATTCTCTTTATGCAAAACCAATTTATTATCAGTTTTCCTTAAAATTTATGGGTGAAATAAGTCCCTGACATGTTTATGACAGGCTTTGTGAGAATCGTCAAAAGTACAACAGAGCAGATCTCTCAGCCTTCAAATAAATAAATAATTAAATAAATAAAATGTAAAAACTCTGCCTAAGTGAGTTTCTTCACACAAAGCATACAGCCGCACCATGACAAAGGGGTGGGGAGGTTGCCAAGGTGACAGTAAATGCCTTGAGAGGGTGCTTGTCTTTCAAGGTCAGTTTGTTAAATTACGTGTGGCTTTTCTTCAGAAAAGCTCCTATGATTCGCTTGCAACAAACAGTATGATTCATTTGTGATTTATGCTACATTCCTAATGTTTGCCTGTGTACTGCATTTTAAAGGAGTGTGAATGCAAATTTATAGGTAATTGTTATTATTATAAACCATTTTACATTTCCATAGCCAGTAATGAGGAACCAAAGCTATTTACTTGATTCGATTTTTGTCTTTATGAGCACCAATGTTAATACTTAAAATTCATATTTATTTTGAAGTCAACAAACAGCCACAGGATTGCAATTACTATTCATCAAAAGAGTTCTCCCTCTTAAATAACAGTAACTAATGCTGAACATTTCCTTATTAATGAAATTAATTTGACTGGAGTTAATTGGTTGCTTTGCCAGAGTCAGTAATTCTCTCCCACTGAGATTTCTACAAGTCTGGGCACAAGGTCATATTTAAATGATAGAAACTCACTCTTGTGTATGGTTAAAAAATTAATAAGAGTTTCTAACAAAACACTGTACTGTCAAAAGAAGAAAACCTGCAACTGTTAATTACATTACATAATAAGTTTTCACCCAAGCCTCATTTATGCCTAATTAATTTTATAGTTTGCATTGACTTCTGTTAGTTTTCTAAGCTATCAGACTGAAAGATGATAAAATGGGCATAAAAATCTGAAATTTACTGTCTCAAGGGACCTCAAGCGAGCACCACCTTGCAATTGAATCCCTAGTAACCACCCAAAACACCCTAGAAACCACATAGCAACATACTACAAACCACTCAGAACACCTTAATAATGTTTTAGACTACCATGAAAAGAAGTGTCAATGACATGAAACTCACCTGTCTTTGTTATTTTATTCAATGATACATTCATGCAATGAGTGGAATACCCCTTTTCTATGCTGAGCATGTTTTTTAATTTCTGAATTAAAATTTAGATATTTCAAAAATGATTCTGATATCACAACAACAACAACAACAAAGCCTAATTAAATGTATTAAATTATTGAAATGGTATTTAGTATCACTGAGATACCATTATACATTTTCTTAATATTTTGAATTAATGTTTATTTATTTATTTTATTTTTTTAATTATTATAGGAATTTTGTTGTGTGTTTTGGTCCTATTTCATTATTTTTAGTTAATTTTATTTCAGGTATAGTTTTAGTTATTTTAGTACATCACGTTAAACTAAATCAACTAGCTTAAGTGTGTGTGTGTGTGTGTGTGTGTGTGTGTATACAGAGCTAGGTTGTAAAGGATTACGTGTAATCTGGATTGCATAATTAGATTCCAAAAACAGTTTTAGTTATTTTAGTACATCACGTTAAACTAAATCAACTAGCTTAAGTGTGTGTGTGTGTATACAGAGCTAGGTTGTAAAGGATTACGTGTAATCTGGATTGCATAATTAGATTCCAAAAATTAAGCACTTGTAATTACATTATATTACATTAAAGCAAAAAGCCCCAAGAAGCCGTGGTTTACAGTGAATTTATAACAGCTAAGGGGCGTTGTTAGGCACGACGCGAAGCTGTTATAAATTCACTGTAAGCCACGGCTTCACAAGGCTAACTGCTTTTATAAAATGGTTATTCCATATACGTAGTAAAGTTTCACAAGATAAAACAGAGCAAATAAAGTGTAAATATATTAGTAAAAACATTATTCTTCCGCCAAACGATGTAGTTCCTCAGAAACGGCTGTGGTTCCAACAAAGTGGTTGCCGAGCAACACACCCTCAACCAATCAGAATCAAGGACCGGAACTATCCATTTTATTATTATGTATATAAAATGTTTAGTTTATAAAATAGTATATAATTTAGTTTACATTCATTTTATTTCAAGCAACATTTTGTTTTAGTTTTAGTTAACTATAATACTCCTGGACAGGAAACCTTATTGATAGTTTGGCATAATTTTATTAATATTACTTAAAAAAAAAAAAAAAAAACTTTTACTGCTTATTCGTTGATGCACTATGGAAATTCCAAAACACAATGATATTTATGAAGTAATACAATTAAAATAATAATAATTTTTTTAAGTTTTCAAAGTTTAAGTAAACTGACAAATACTTTTTACTTGATATTTCTGAAAAATGATATTAAAGTTTTTCAAAACCAACTGAAACTGACATGAATACAAGTAGTACATTTAAGAACGTTGCATATGTGTCATAAACTAGAAAAAGATCCGTTTCTTTCTCCAGCTATCGATGTGCTGAAGCATGAGGTCATCTTCAGCGTGGTGCGTCTGGCTGCCACCTGCATCATCTGCCTGGGCTTCCTGCTGCTGCTGCTCCCTGAGGAGTGGGATACGGTCACCCTGCGCTTCCTCACCACCCTGGCCGACAAGAAGACGGAGGAGCACGGCGAGGAGCTCACAGAATCCAGCGTCCACACACGCAGCCGCAGTAGAGCCAACGGAGCCGTATCCATCCCCATGGCATGACCTTTGACCTGTGAATGAACAGCCAGCGATCAACACTGATCCTCCCTGTGGCAGCCGTTGTATGTGGCAGTTTGATTGCATTTGTATTTTAGAAAGACAAAAGAGAATAAGCAAAGTGAAGAGGGAGGATGTTTGTTTTCTTTAATAATAATCACAACATCGACCAATCAGAACACAGAAAGTCACAGAAAGATAAGAACATGCCGTCCTGCTCTTTAATAGAGTTTTCTGAGAAGAGCGTCCCATTAAATATATATTTACCGACAGTATGTTTTTATTTTACAGAAGGGATCTAGCATTCTCTTCCCTGAGAAGATACGCATCCATTCCATAGAAATGGACTTTCAGACTTTCGTCTCCCGCTGCACGACAAACCCTGCACCCCTGAACCCCTCCGCTAGCCCCTTCCCATGGAATGTATTCTGTGAATATAGACTCTGTCAGGGCCAGTTCGGCTCACTATGTACACATGAATGCATTCAGAGATTGGATATATATGTATATGATTATTTGCATTGTACGTAGTAGTATAATACATGTAGGAGAAATATATTATGCTTTAATGAATAAGCCTTTCTTTTCTTTTTATAATAAAAGACAAAAATAAAGATCTGCTTTGAAAAGCGCTTGTTATTTAATCGTTCAACACCTGAAGTGTAGTGCAACAATCATGTTCCGGAAGAAACAAAATATATATATATTTTTTCATTATTCAAGAGAGACCTAACATGAGCTTTGAGATTCTTAAAGGTGCCATAGAATGCATTGATACAATATGTTAAATTGTTCTCTGATATCTACATAGAAGGTATGTGGCTTAGGTAAGGGTAAAAAATCTCCAGAAACGGTTTTACATGTCCATTTACAACCCTAGGATTTGTCCCTAGAATGACATGGCCTGTTTTTACCTTATTTGGAAGGGTCATGAATAATGTTGAGCTCTACTCTGATTGGCTGTTTCACAGTGCGGCTCATTTCAGTAGCTCACACAGCATGAAGGAAACACAGGGAAAATATATATTTCAATACTCTTTCTCGCAGTTATATCGTTGGGTAATTATATTGTATATAAAATGCGGGCATCAGGGAGCCGCTATTAATATATTTGAATGCACGATCGCTTTTTACTTTCACTTTCGAGATTTGTGATCGCACGTGCTCTGTGTAAACTACAGCGGCAGTAGGCTACTTAACACACATTTTACAAGATGCTTGTCAGTGGTGCTCAGGATCTGTAAATCATTCCATCATCCTCAGTCATCTCTCCTTACTCTGTGTATGTGGTAAGTGAAATATTATGTACTGTAACAGGCTACTGCTAGCAAGCAGCTAACCATGTCCCTTTAGTGACTCACTTTATTTTATTAGAACGCGCGTTATTTGTTTTCCGTGCCTTTCTGAATACAGACACCAACCCATCCCTGCACAGCCTGGAACATAACATTTATTTCCATGATCTGCCATTTTCGCTATTATCCTCGCTTGTTTCTTCACAATACCTGCAGAACTTCTGATGATTTGGCTGTGCAAGTCTAGAACATGGGCGGGTATATGCAAATGTTGGGGGCGTAACTATTAGTGATCCCGACTGTAATGTCACAGTCGGTGTTATGTTCTGATTCGCCTATTTTTCAGTGGTCTTTTGCATGCACGAGATTTACATAAGAAGGAGGAAACAATGGTGTTTGAGGCTCACGGTATGTCATTTCCATGTACAGAACTGTTATTATTCAACTATGCCAAGGTAAATACAGTTTTCCATTCTATGGCACCTTTAAGTGATCTTATATATTTTTGAAAAAGCCACTGGTGTTTAATAGTCAGATTCTTGGTGAAGAGCCACAATCCTGAAGATATTTACCAAGAATGGAGACAGAAATAGGAACACATGCCATGATACTCTATACTCTTCTACATAGATGTATATACAGTGGTGTGAAAAAGTGTTGGCCCCCTTCCTGATTTCTTATTTTTTTGCATGTTTGTCACACTTTAATGTTTCAGATCATCAAACAAATTTAAATATTAGTAAAAGATGTATTTGAATATTTTACAATACATTTAAAATACCATTCAAAAGTGAAAGAACTTTTGAAAAAAAATAAAAATAAAATCCGCAAGGATGGATTAAAATGATTCAAAGCTACAGTAAAGACTTTCACACTGTTCCAAAAATAAAATAAACACTGAAGACTGGAGTAACTGCTGAAAATTCAACTTTGCATCACAAAAATAAATTACATTTTAAAAAATATATAAGATATAAAACTATGGAAGCTGTTTCTGCCACTGAATTAAAAAAATAATAGTAATAATAATTGTGACTTTTTATCTCACAATTCAGACTTTGAAAAAAACTGTGAGGTTACTGAAAGTTTATATCGCGCAATTTTGAGGAAAAAAGTCAGAATTGTGAGATATAAACTCGCATTTCTGATTTATTTTTTCTTGAATTGTGAGAGCTCGCAATTGCAAGTTATAAATGTGATTCTGAGGAAACAAAGAGACTATTTTCTTACAATTGCTAGTTTATCTCTCACAATTCTGACATTTTTCTCAGAATTGCATATATCTTTCAATTCTGACTTTATAACACACAATTGCGGGTTTATACTCACAATTCTGAGAAAATAAATCAGAATTGACCCTTTGCAGGGAGCGTGGTTGACAGGCAATCTGATCAATCATTACGCAGAATCCACCATTTCTGTTTGACAAACAAACCAGACAGGAGAATAGATTAACGTTGGTGGACTTGAACTTGAAAAATGGTGTGTATTGACATCTTTCCACGTTGAAACAAGATACCTTCTGACAGACCAGACAGAGCAGCTTACTTTTGATATGAAACAAATACTCAGCTTTCAAATTGTTAAATTTTTTTTTTAATTCATACAATAAATACAGTTTTGTGGCTCTTTAATGTGTTGTGACAGATCACTGTATTGCCTGAGTTCAAGCGGCATGTCAACCATTCATCTCTTCCTCTTTACTAGTGATAGCACAAAATAAACATGAATGAACATCAGAAGGTATCTTGTTTCAACCGCAGAAAAACGCCAGTACACACAAGTTCAAGTCCACTGACATTAATTTACTCTCCCGTCTAGTTTGTTTGTCGAACAAAAATGGCAGATTCTGCATTATGATTGGTCAGATCACCTGTCAATCAAACTCTCTGCGAAGGGTCAATTGTGAAAAAAAACTTGCAATTCTGAGACGCAAAGTCAGACTTATCTCACAAAAGAGACTTCTTTAAAAAACTCACAATTATAAGAAAAAATGTCAGAATTGTGAGATAAGAAGTTGCAATGACCTTGTTTTATTTTGTATTCAGTGGCGGAAATGGGCTTCCATAGTATGGAAAACAGTTTTAATGTATTTTAATAAATACAACTTTGGTCAGCATACTAGACTTTCAAAAAAAGTTCAGAACCGACCCTAACCTTTTGGAACAGTAGTATATATTTTTTACACTTAAAAGCAATGACTATATACGTCAGTAGTTTTAGTTTTAGTGCTGTCAAACGATTAATCGCGATTAATCGCATCCAAAATCAACGTTTTTGTTTGCATAATGAGTGTGTACTGTGTATATTTATTATGTTTATATAAATACAAAAACATGCATGTATATATTTAAGAAAAATGTTGTTTATATATTAAATATATTTATATATAATATAATAATATAAATTATATATAAATGTATATACATATTTTCAATATATATACACTGTATGTTTGTGTATTTATATATACATAATAAATAAACACAGTACACATACATACATTACGTAAACAAAAACGTTTATTTTGGATGCGATTAATCGTTTGACAGCACTATTTATTAATAATAATACTAATCTGAGTGCTATAAACTGAAGCATCAGTTTATCATGAGTGGTATCAGCAGTTTTTTTCATCACATTTTCTATCACAAAAAAAAATGAAAAAGACAGGAAAGTGGAGGAGGAATGGTATCTGTAAATGACACAGAATGGATTTGAACCTGCACCCCGTGAGCATAAATGCTCTACAGGTTTAGTGAGAATGTGCACTGCCCACTGTGCCACAGCTCTGACCATGATACACACCATAAAAATGAAACACAAACATGCTGAATGACTAAGACAAACCCTTCATTCCCTCATTTCTCCCTGCAATAAACACACTAGGACACCTTCACAGTCCCGTGACAGCCGCTCTGTGTGAATGCATATAACGACCTTTTGCTTTCTTGGAAATATAATGAGATATTAGCTGAGTGGACAGGCTGAACATCTTCAGACCTCTGGAGAAGTCCATTAAACTAAATGAAGCATAGAAAAGGAAATGAGGGGGTAACAGAAGGGGAGGTATAAAGCGCACAGAGGAAGTCTTTAAATCCACATTATGGGGTTCAGTTCCTTCACCCTGGGAGGTGGCGATAACGGTCCATATGCTGACACAGCAATTTTTTTTATGACCTATTCAAAAGTTTTTTTTATGTTTTCACAAAGGCTGTGTTTATATGGACAAAAATATTGTAAAAACAGTAATATGGTAAAATATTACTATAAATTTAAATAATTATTGTGCATTTTAATACATTTTACACACACACACACACACATATATATATATATATATATATATATACACACACACACATATATATATATATATATATATACACACACACACACACACACACACATATATATATATATTATTGTGGTCACAAAGCTGAATTTTCTGCATTTCTAATATGAAATAATTCTAATATTTGGTGCTCAAGAAACATTTATTATCAATGATAAAAAATAGCTGTGCTGATATAATTAATTAATTTGTGAAAAAACGTGATATGCTTTTCTTTATTCTTTGATGAATATATAGATTATTTGATGATATTTACATGCACACACAAACACACATATACTGTATGCATGTTAAATGGTATTACCTCTGAATGGTTAATGTTTCAGTAATTAATAATATTCATAATAAAAAACATTATCTTGAAAAAATACACTGGCCAAAAGTATATGTTGGTTTGGTCATATATGTTTGTCAACTTTGTATACACTCACATATATCAGCTAGATCAAGATGAGAAAACTATATTATTGATCATTTGATTACACAATTGACTTTTTTGGTATATATATACTGATAAGGGTATACCATAAAACAAAATGTATTAATCTAACATGGGTATACAAAGCTTTCTAAGAAAAAAATTTCCTCTTCATCATTTTAGATATCCCTGTTCAGGATCAATCCAAGGTTGTAGCAAGCAGTTTTTGTTTATTTAAAAGAAAAAAATACTATGAATGAGTATAATTACATTGCTGTGTAATAATTGCAACCAAGCTAGGTTCGTTTTCTCTAATATCAAGTTATACCTGCTGTAATCAGACAAACAGAAAACTGTCACTAATTCTGTCAATCATCAAGCTTGGCTCCCTGAGCAGTCGCATGCCTGAGCAATCAGTGGAAAGACGGGCCTCTCACTGCCGTCCAAGCATTAACACACAGTTATAAAGTAACCTGT